TTCTGTGACCACGTGCTATATATACAGTGTGTCCACTTTAAAAACTTTACCACCGCCTGTAAAATCAGTATTATCTTATCTGATCGATTTCGAAAAACTTTTTTTTGTTGTATAGGTATTTGAAATATCCATCAAACAAAAAAAGTGATTTTATTCTTGGACTGTTATCGTGGCCATCAACTGCGACCAATTTTATTGACCCATATTTCGTAAGTAAATTACTATTGGGGATTTTATTTTTTCACTAAAACTAATGATAGATTCTGAACCTAGATCACTCAATGTAACCCTGTACCGATTTTCATCGTCATAAAACAAAGAGTGTCCGAAAAATCGGATTAATAGATATATTTTTTGTATACTCGATCAAAAAATGTAGTACTGTGGTATGTTTGGGAAGAACTAATGTCAAATGGATATTTAGGACTACTTCGAACATATCAGCCCCGATTATTATCATTCAAATATACAATGTGTCTGAGAAAACAAAAAGGGTGGGTAGGCAATTTTTTCATCAACCAAAAAATAATAAAAAAAAAATTCGGACACCCTGTATTTTATGATGATGAAAATTAGTACAGGTATGTTCCGAGTGATCTTGAATGAGAATCCGTCATTATTTTCTAGGTATAGAATCATGCATCATGAAATATTGTCTACTTATTCGATTCGGTTCAGTATCTCCTATGTCCTTTATTGAGATATCAAATTGATGACACAACACTGTTCTGAAGCAAAGTAATATTTTTGTGATTAACGGACATGGGAGACACTGAACTTTATCAAATCGATCAATAACCCTGTTTTTCAAATTTATCTGCACGATTTATCGAAGCTCAAGTATTATACTTTAAAAATAAAATTTCTGGAAGTAGGTAGATATTCGCGTTTCAAGATAATTATGGGTATACCGTTTTCATATCGCAAAAATAGGTATTCAGAGAAAAATAACTCTTAAGAACGATTAAGAAATATGATTTCATGGGAAAAATAATTGGAGGATATACTAACGACAAACTTCAATTAAAAAAAAATTAATTATACCGATGCCGCTTTATTCAAGAAGTACTTCAACTATATCTATCAATCCATAGAATCAACTAGAATCAAACAATGAATAACCATGAGTCAGCTTCATAAGATGAAGCATAAAATATTACTCTAGCGATGTGAATATTAACCCCAAATCTTAGAAATATTCAGATATCTGACTATCTCGTACCACAACTCACCATAAGAAATAAGTGATTGAAACAGCGGGCGGTTGGAATAGATATTAGTCTGGGTGCATAAACTGAAATTTTAAAGGGATTTTCACAGAAGTCGTTACTTTTAATTTGAGCCCCACTGTACCATGCCCAATACAACATGACTCTTCTATAGTGGTAAAAATAGATTTATCAATTATAACTTGGCAACGCCGTAACCGATTTCAATTTTTTTTACAGCCATGTGAAGGTAAACCTCATCGGAATAAATTCCGAATAGATAATACAGGGTGTTCCATTTAAAAAAACTGGTGTCCGAGTCATCCCGCTTTTATAAAACACCCAGTAATGTCGAAAATATTTTTGAAATATGAAACTTGAGTAACTGAAGAAGTTTTTCCTTCATAGTTTTTTTCTATAGGTTATGGTTTTAGAGATATCGAAGAATTACGCACTAAATGGACACTAGCGTCTGCGGACAGGCGGAAGTAATAACTCCGTGGTAGGGGAACGTTAGTTAACTTGTGTCGAGTCTAATATAAGGAAGGAATTATTTTTTAACAATCAATCGACCTAGATGAACCTTTTTTCTTGAAGAAGAAGAAGAATTTTTCTTGATGAAGGAAAATATTGTTTCTGCATAAAAAATGAGAAAACCTAACCTATCTATTTTATGAGTATATCTGTACTTGTTTCGTTGACCTGTGTAAAACTTGATGTTTATTAACACCAAATAAAATATTCTATTCTATTCTAACCTAACCTAACCGAACCTCACCTCTGGCCTAAACATAGAAAACCCCTAAATGAACCTATTTCCCATAGAGAATATTTTTTAGAAATCACTTGGGAACAAGAAAAAAATAAAAAAAAGATGAACCTCGCACGGATATGAACCCCGAGCCACCGGCTTGGCATGCCGATGCTCTGCGTACTGAGCCAACCAGTTGCTTACGAGGCGAAGTATGATGAAGTCATTCAGTCGGCGCCGCATAACGCCAGTCGCATCTACTGCCCACTATAACGTTCTCCCACCACGGAGTCATTACTTCCGCCTGTCCGCAGACGCTAATTAAATGGACACACTAGAAATCATTCAACCGTGTTTGGCACTAAGGACTCTTCCACAAATTAATATCATAAGTCTTACCATCACAGCTATGCCTACTTTCATCGAGTTTTCTTTCGGGCAGATCCCTACATTTATGGTGAAAGGAGTATACATCAGAGTGGTCATTTAAGTGTGCAATCTTTTCAATGTATTGCACAACCACAATACAGATAGTCCCAAAAGCTGGTGCATGTTTGGTAATCATTTTAGGTGCACTTAGAATGGTTGCAAGTCACACAGCATAAAGGGTAGGTCAAAAAATATAAAAATTGCTCAGGAGTAAAGTACCCTTATTTCAGAAAATTTAGCAAAATGTTAGTGGAAAAAGTTGTTAACAATTGGAGGTTTTGCCTTAATACCGAAACATGGCCTCCTAAGACATTTTTTAGTTTTTCAACTTTGTTCGTTAATAATTTCCCAATTTATTTGTGATTTCCTAAAAAAATTTAAATTCAAGTTAATTGCAAAAATATGCTTGAATTTGAACGAAGGTATGCTCAACTGATTTTGTTATGATTAACTTATGGAAGTATTCCGGGTGAATATAAAAAAATTACAAATTAGGAAATTATTCACGAGCAAAATTGAAAAACTAAAAAATGTCTCTGGAGGCAATATTTCGGTATTTAGGCATAACTTTCAATTGTAAACAACTTTTCACTATAACATTTTGCTGAATTTTCTAAAATAAAGGTACTTTACTCTTGAGAAATTTATATATTTTTTGACCTACCCTGTATGCTGTGTGACCTGCAACTATTCTAAGTGCACCCAAAATGATTATAGATAATGCACCAACTTTCTCAAGGATCAATTTCGGAAGAAATAACATTTTTCCTACTCCATTGGAGTAACCACGTGCCCTGTCCTCACCTTTGCAGATAATACTTAGTACTTCCATACTGCGCGTTCCAAAATTCCCATTTATTTCCACTAAAAATGAAGATCTTGCTAACATTACACTAGCCTAGGCTACCAACAACCTAGTTGAATTCAACTCCACCAAAACTGAAGACTGTATTTTCCCTAGAACGGTAGAACTCAGTGATCCGTATACATGATATATAACAATGTGTGGTATCGGACATGTCTGGTACCACCATTCCCACAAAGTCAACTATATCGATGCTCGGTATTTCCATCAGCAATACTCTTTCATGAAATAATCATGTCACATGTCCATCGGCGCGATAGCTACTTCACAAAAACTCGGGATTCACTTTCCGTCCGAAAAGCTCTAATACTCCTAAACATACGCAGATTCCACCCAGAGACGAGCCATATTCGCCTAGTGGGTTATGTCACACTCAATATTTCTTTATTGACACCATGTGTACACCGGAGAAAAGTCGACGAGAAATGTTCCGCGAGACATTTTCCTCAGAAATCTCTGCTATCATTCCATCACTAGCAATGCCGGTCAGACGTATAATCGACAAGTCCAGTCAACACATCATATCGTCATCAACCTCGAAATACAGAACAACTTTCTACCAAAACTCATTTGTCGAAGAACGGCAAAGCTTTCGATTTCTTTGCCAATCGAGATATGAGTATTGGGATATTGGGCGTTCCAGTGAACTTGTAGAATATAGTATTCCAATGGAATATGGCCTATGGACATCCAGTGAACATCCCCAGGCCAGCAACCTTCATGTTCGTATTGGTGTTATGAGGATATCCTTCGAACATTCATAGGACATACATTGGGTAACAAATGTACGTCCACTGAAAATCCAATATATTTTTAATAAACGTCTATAAGATGTACATCATGTTGTATGGTACTGAATGTCATATTAAAGATTACTTGGAAGACTAGGAATGAAACGCACATCAAAACATATTATTATATGATTACTGATCATATTGAGATTTGAAAATTATTGGTCGAGATCATACGAACTGAATGTAAAAAGCATAGTACAATATTGGCACCTTAACTGGCATTTTCTTCTGCGGCTACTACTTTCTCTTCGTATACAAATGCTTTCCTCTCCACTCCTGTCTTCTCTGATATATCATCTCCAGGTAGTTTATCAATTTTGAATATCCAAGATATTCCCACATGAAATGGACGTCCATAGGATATCCTGTGCCGAACATCCACGAGATATCAGATATCCGATTACGAATATCTTATTGTCGTTCAAAATTGTTCCAAGGATATTGCGACATGAAATAGACATGAATTGGACATCTTCAGGCTATCTATCCTGTGCAGAACATTCCAGGGGTATCCAATTTTGGATATCCTATGATTGTACGAAATTGTTACGAAGGTATTGCGACCCTCTGCTTCAGCAAGGAATATCCAATTTTTGATATCCATTGGTTGTCTGAAATTCTTCCAGGGACATTGCGACATGAATTAAACATAAATTGGACGTCAATGTGATATCATGTGGTGAATATCCTAGAGATATCCAATTTTGGATATCCTATAGTTGTACAGAATTGTTTCAAGGATGTACGGCATGAATTGGACGATATTTTGTCAAAGAAAGAAAATCTGATGTGTTTTATGAATTTGACATAACAGGGATATTTGTGTTTACTGGGGATTTTGGATACCCTATAGCTGTCCAACATTGGTCTAAGAATATTGCGATTGAGATGTCCATGATCCTGTAGTGTTTCCGTGTTGAGGATCAACATTAATTCGACTCATTTTCATCCAGGGCTGTCACGACCAATGGAACGCCCCGTGGATCGGCTGGGGCGACCAGTACGGAGGCGTATACTCGGCGGAGCAGTGCAGCGAGCTGCCCGAGGTGCTGCAGCCCGGCTGCCGGTTCAGGTTCGAGTTCCTCGAGAACGTGTCCAATCCGCAGGTGTCCTTCCAACAGGTGCAGTGTCCCGCCGAGATCGTGGCGATCTCCAATTGCGCATTGTGAACGTGAACACTTTATAGATTTGTAACACAATTACATTTTTTTGCTACTATTCATGCAGGGTGTTTTTAATATTCCTTGAGTCTGAATGAAACAAAGTTCTATAAACGTCCAGAATTCTTCCGTTTTCTAGATGAATGTATATTGTAGTTTTATTGAGAACTCGTTATCTCGTTATTTCATTGAAATGTACAGTGTCGATATAATTTTATGATTGTTGTGAAATGTTCATATTCTCTTTCCGATTAATAAATTGGAAGTATAATGTTTTTCGTCTATTAATTGCATCGTTTCATGAATCAACTTCATTCACCAACCAAATGTGGACTTCTCAAAATGATACCATATATTGAAGACTATTCCACTCTTGGTCCAATCCGCAGGTGTCCTTCCAACAGGTGCAGTGTCCCGCCGAGATCGTGGCGATCTCCGATTGCGCATTGTGAACATGAAAACTTTATAGATTTGAAACACAATTACCTACTTTTCTTGCTTATATCCATGCAGGGTGTTTTCTAATCGTACGTAAAAATTAAGTTGATATTCCTTGAGTCTGAATGGAACAAAGTTCTATAAACGTCAGGAATTCTTCAGTTTTCTATATGAATGTATATTGAGGTTCTCGTGAGAACTCGTCATCTCGTTATTTCATTGAAATGTTCAGTGTCGATAATTTTATGATTGTTGTGAAATGTTCATATTCTCTTTACGACGTTTAATAAATTGAAAGTACAATGTTTTTTGTCTATTTATTGCATCGTTTCATCAATTGATCAATGAATCAACTATATCCACCAACCAAATGTGGACTTCTCAAAATGATACCATATTTTGAAGACTATTCCACTCTTGGTCCAATCCGCAGGTGTCCTTCCAACAGGTGCAGTGTCCCGCCGAGATCGTGGCGATCTCCAATTGCGCATTGTGAACGTGAAAACTTTATAGATTTGAAACACAATTACATATTTTTTTGCTAATATTCATACAGGGTGTTTTCCTTGAGTCTGATTGAAACAAAGTTCGATAAACGTCCGGATTTCTTCAGTTTCCTAGATGAATGTATATTGTAGTTTTCTTGAAAACCAGTATTCTTGTTATTTCATTGAAATGTTCAGTGTCGATAATTTTATGATTGTTGTGAAATGTTCATATTCTCTTTCCGAATAATAAATTAAAAGTACAATGTTTTTCGTCTATTAATATCATCGTTTCATCAGTTAATCATTGATTGAACTTCAATCACCAACCAAATGTGGACTTCTCAAAATAATACCATATTTTGAAGACTATACCACTCTTGGTCCAATCCGCCGGTGGTGTTCTTCCAACAGCTGCAGTGTCCCGCAGAGATGGTGGCGATTTCCAATTGCGCATTTTGAACGTGAAAACTTTATAGATTCGAAATACAGTTACCTAATTTTTTTGCTAATATTCATGCAGGGTGTTTTCTAATCGTACGTAAAAATAAGGTTGATATTCCTTTAGTCTGAATAAAACATAGTTCGATAAACCTCCGGAATTCTTCCGTTTCCTAGATGAATGTATATTGTAGTTCTCTTGAGAATTCGTCATCTCGTTATGTCAATGATATGTTCAGTGTCGATAATTTAACGATTGTTGTGAAATTTTCATATTTTATTTCCGATAAATAAATTGAAAATACAATGTTTTTCGTTTATCAATTTATTCGTTTCATCAGTTGCTCAATCAATCAACTTTATCTACCAACCAAATGTGGACGTCTCATGATGATACTATATTTTGAAGACTATCCCACTCTTGGTCCAATCCGCAGGTGTACTTCCAACAGGTGCAATATCCCGCCGAAATCGTGGCGATCTCCAATTGCGCATTGTGAACGTGAAATCATTATAGATCTGAAACACAATTATTTTTTTTTGCTAATATCCATGCACGGTGTTTTCTTATCGTACGTAAAAATTAAGTTCATGTTCCTTGAGTCTGAACCCATCGAGCACAAACATCTCTGGGATGTTTCGGGATGTTTTGAAAATGTTGGCATGAAGATGTTATTTTGAGACGTAATATGCACTGACCAAAGAGGTCTCTAAAGGATATTGAAGTATTGTTTTTGTTCTTCTGTGGCATTTCTTTGTTTGCCTACTGAGAGGTATCCCAGGGATGTTTTGGGATGTTTTAGAAACGTAGGCATGAGGATGTTTTTTTGAGGCGTAATATGCACTTCCCAAAGAGGTCTTAGAAGGATATTGAAAGTATTGTTTTTGTTCTTTTGTGCCCTTTGTTTGTTTGCCCCACCACAACATCTCATGCTTACGTCACAATACGATGAATTCTGATTTGTTCTCGATTTTGTTCTTCTTGTTCGCAATTGGCATTAGCGTTTGCAGCGTGTCACGCTTACATCACGCTGCTAACGAAAAGAAAGGAATTTGGTGAATTTTATTGTGTTAGACGACTTATAATGACCATCAGATGCAAGATGTATTGTACGAATTCATCAGTACACAGCTTCTCCGCAGTTGCAAAATTATGCATTGTGGAGAACATTTCAAAAATTGGGAAACCTATTTCCAATTGTATGTCTGTGTGTAGTAAGCACTACTCAGAAACCGATTAAGAAGGTAATTTCATATCAAGAAAATATTTTTATGTTCAATCTATTTTTAATGCATTTTTTCATTCAAGGGAAATGGAATCCTAATGCCAAAGTTCATTCTGACAAAAGGCTTCAGAAAAGTACCTCGAAAATGTTTTTTTACAGCGATTTGATGTGCGCAAGACGCGTTGAAAATGTTCTGTTGTGTCCATGAAAAGGATTTAAAAAGAACTAGGGAGATCGTTGTTTTGTGACATATCAAGGACCTCTCGATAATTGCCGCCTGCGGCAGACATTGTCTGTTCTATAATAGTTCTATTCATGTGTGAACAGAACATCGCAGTGGAGGTTCAATGTCTCGAAATCTCGTACTTCTAACATCTCTGAGATGTTTTTGTGCTCGCTGGGAATGAAACAAAGTTCTATAAACGTCCAGAATTCTTCCGTTTCTTAGATTAATGTATATTGTAGTTTTCCTGAGAACTCGTCATCTCGTTATTCCATTGAAATGTTCAGTGTCGATAATTTTATGATTGTTGTGAAATGTTCATATTCTCTTTCCGATTAATAAATCAAAAGTATAATATTTTTCGTCTATTGATATCATCGTTTCATCAGTAATTCAATGAATCAACTCTTTTCACCAACCAAATGTGTACTTCTCAATTGATCTCTAGAATCAATCAGAATCGGCCATTTTAACGGTTTCTTCTGTATTACAGCGATATTTATTGTTTACTAAATCTTATCGGACTTGCTCTACCAATACCAGTACAGAAGTCGAATAGACCCACACGTGACCAACCTGCCTACCGCTCGTTTATTGTCTCAATCATGGAATACTTATACGAATACAACTGCTGATACTATTTTTCCTGGAAATATTCTTCGATTGACATACAGCGCTGCTTTCATTCCGCTCATGACATCGATCCAAAACTTCTCGCCTACGGCTCAAATTTGGCGAAATTATTAGGCAACAAGATGTTGTTACAATCGCCGAATATTTCTGGCAAATACGTCGTCCAGGTAGCATTAAAATAACTACACATATTGAACACAACAATATGCTGTTGTCTAAAAAAAAAAAAAAATCCCAAAATATCAGATAATCTTCAAGTCTTCGAATTGAAGAGTTATTTCATCTCGAAATCGGGACAAAAATTGGAGAAAAAAAATTGAGTACGCTACTTCCAGGATATTGAAATCTTTATGACTCAGCTATCCTCATGAAAACTTGATGATGTTGACATCAGAATTGTTACAGCGCTGCCAGATTTCTTATGGGCGAATACCTATTCTAATAAATAAAGTAAAAGTCGATAATAAACAATTGGCGATACCCACATAATGCTCATTGAAATGAGAGTTATGGCTTTAGACAATCCAGACCTATAAATATTCTATCAATTTTATTTCAGGTACTCACAGTAACCCATTTCAAGATATTTTGCTTGCACTGAACTGGGTTTCGAAAAATAAACAGCTATTAACTTTTATCTTCGATTTAACATCGAAAAATTCATATTTACTCCGTGGCAATGATAATATTCAGGATTCCAGGTGAATCGACTCACATTGTCCAAGAGTTGTTCACATATCTTCAGCCTCCATCATTTCTGATGATGAAATATCAATGATATTACCATACATGAATTTGTAAGAGTATACTTTTCCTAATTTTTCATTAATTCTCCTGAGAATAACAGACCATGAAATAAACAAGATTTTTCTTGTATGTTCTGGTTCTCACTAAATTTGACTGAAGCTGTAGTTGTGCAAGAATTAGTTTTGCCCAATCTGATCTGAATAGAGTCACTGGATGGTATTACTTAGATAGCAAGTGTGGTTCATTGCGGAAGAGAGGGCATATTACGATCTCTTACTCAGTTTGGTTCCTACTTCGTAGCAGTTTTTTTTCAATTTCCTTGTGAATAACTTGTCATACTTCGCCTTGACCAATATACAGGATGTTTCAAAGAAACCTAACCCCCTTGCTAGGTTAGGTAGAACATTGCAAAATAAGTTGGGTTTGCTCAGTGAAAGAATTAAGGACCAAAAACATTAACATCATTTCACGGCTGAAGTTATCGATTGAACAAAATAACATCACAAAATATTTGATTGAATTTGACTAAAAACATATCATCTAGTTAGAATAAGTGTCCAAAATGTCCTCCGCTTCCGCTAATACACAATACGATCCTTTTTTTTTAAATGGATCAGTCTTCTCAACGATTGAGGATCAGCTATGAGGTCATTGAAGTGATGTTCAATGAAAAATCTAACTTGAAAAAAGTAATGTTCCAAAGAACTCGGTACGAACCGTGTAACTAGCACCCCCTAGGAGTGTCAGATATAAAAACAGATTCATGCGATGAGTCAGCATTCTAAACACATCCGTACAAAATCGTGAAACATGTGTGAGAAAAATATTTTCTTAACACCTTGTATTTTGAAAACGGATGGTGTTACGACATCTTTCTCACTGAGCAAACCCAAATTATTTCGCAATGTTCTACCTAACCCTAGTAAGGGGGGTTAGGTTATTTTGAAACACCCTGTATATGTATATCTGGGAAAACAGCGCACGCCTTTATCTTCGATTATTGTTTTCACTCAATTGGTATCCATATGAAAAAATCCCAGAATCTTGAAATCCTATGAATAATATTTCTCATATTCTCTCTGTAAACAAAAATAGTATATTCATTACCCATGTTTGCGAAGACGATATTCTCCAAGTAATCAGAAACAATATCAAAAATAAGCATTCATGTGCATTCGATGGTATCCTTGGTTATGTGTTGGAAAAAAATGCATCTTGCATTAGTGCACCTCTATGTCATGTAATACATATCTCATTAATACAAGGACATTTTCCATCTCGCTTGTCGCACTCAACTGTCACCCCTATCCTTAAAAAAGGAAATATCCATAATTTGGAAAATTATCGCCCGATCGCGGTGCCCTCAACATTATCAAAAGTATTTGAGTATATAATATTGAAATTTTTACATCATCATTTAAAAATACTATACACTATAGTATAAGAGCCAGCGCCAAAAATATTCTTTGAATTTACTAAGCCTAGTTTTATCACAGTTTATTACAATGGTTTTGTACACAAACATACTGCGGTCAGTCAAGCGAAACTGAGAACAGATGTCCCTGGTATACTATCGGAGTTGTCGTTCCAACCGAAGTAATGTAACGACACTATTTATTTTCGAACCGATTTATTTGAACTAAAGAAACACTAATTTATATCGAACTTATATTATTTTTGTAAAACGATTTATATCACACGGTATATAACTGTCTCTCTGACACTCGCTGCTCGACTGACTGACGGCAGTTTTCCGGATGTACATATATATATATGAATGAATGAATGTTTATTGAATAGGAAGGAAATCCTAATATACAAACAATACTTCAATACACATGAAATTTAAGTATTACATAGATATTATACACTAAAAAACTACTTATTTACTAACATTTTGGAAAACTAGCATTGATACATAATAAATAACTATAGGTATAAATACAGAGTAATCATTGTAATATATTATTCAATTTTATATAATCATTAAGTTTGGCTTTAAATATATACAAGCTTTTGCTGTCTTTAATATCCTGAGGTAACTTATTGAATTGATTTAACCCTTAATAAAATAATACTTTCATTGAGTTAGATAAACTACATCTT